GAATGATGAACAGATAATTTTGATTAACCGCAGAAATATTACTAATATTTATTAAATGAGAAAAAGCTTTTTTTTATTAAAAAAACATAACATGAAAAATTCGGCAATTTAATTTGAATTTTATTCAGCAATGGCGGAAATGAGCGACGGACTCTCTCAGTACACAGCTGATATTTAGTTTGCCAAACAATGAGGTTTTCATAGTGACAAAGGTGTGAATTATAACTATTCATTGACTTTTAACAATGTAAACAACAACACTCCGTTCCATCGCCTCTCTGACCTTCATGTTCACTAGGCTTGGGCAGTGTGACAGTATTCTGATGCGGCAAATTTCCACAAGTTTTCTATTAAATCTGAGACAAACATTCTGGGCTCTTTCAGAAGACGCCCCAWAAAGTTACTGAAGYGTGTTCTGACCAGCTCGGCTCATTTAGAAGACAAACAGGAGGAGGGGAGCAGAGATGCCCCCATCTGCCGCGCCTCTCAACTCCAAGGAAGGTAAACACAAACAAACAAACAAAACAAACGAGTTTCTTGCCAACTCCTGAAACGGTGGGTCAGTGTAGTACTGACAGGCAGCCTCGGGACCACCTAGAAAAAAATTAAAATGGATTTCATATTGCCCAAGGAAACCCCCTCCTACTACGGTGGAAATGCTTGTGAGGTGCTTTCAAAATATAATACTTAAAATACATGATCGTCCTTGGAAAATAGTCTGGGAAACACTGCAGTCTGTTAACACTGCTGCACACACCTGCTGTCAYTCAGACAGCATGACCCGCCCTGKTCTGCTCTGACTGAGTAAAACTTTGACTGTGGTTCTCTTTATTGATRGAAAGAACTGTCAGTTTAATCCCACTATCATCATAGGCTGAACAGCTTTAAAAAATTAAAACACAACAAAACACGTTTTTTTTCCTCCYTTCATTTTTACAGATGACTGAATTCTGTCGATGCGCTGGCAAACATACAGTAAATCCAAGATTTCAATTGGTTGTCCACCAGATCTGGTTGTCCGAATTAAAAATAGGTCATCTCAGTCAGAACACTTTAAAGCTCTTATGTCGACCTCTGCAGACATGTTGCTTGGATGCACAACAGCTGGCTTCTGGAAGAGGAGGGGCTGAAGTAAAATGTCACCACTGTTGTCTGAAAACTTTTCTGCTTAAAAAAACAAGCCGACGACTTTCTGACCAACATCATTATAGTTGACCCTTTCTCCTGTGAGGAAACGTTTGGCCTGGGTCAAACCACTTCGAACGTAATTATACGATTTTCATAAGGATGAAAATGCACCCGCTTCAAAGAGAGCTGATTTTATGGCATCAAAGCAGAAGTTCTCAAACTGGGGTCCTAGGACTCCCAGGGGTCTGTGATCTTGGGGGTTTCTTAAAAAAATTTCACTAAATTGTTAATTTAATTTTTATTTTTAAAAATGCACGAGGAACAATGGACTAATAAAACGAACATAATAAACTAAATAAAAATATATATTCCCATGGCATTTAGGGGTTGAAATGACAGTAAATTATATTTTAAAACAGTGTGGAGTTTATGAGGGGGTCCCTGGAAATTTTTCGTCCTTGTAACTGGTCCCTAGACCCAAAAGGTTTGAGAAACCCCTAAGGTAGAGTATGTAGGGCCCTTAAGCACACAGAAACTGAGAGGTGATCATACCTGGCATGCCCTGCAGGTTTCTCCCCAGTCCCAGCCACAGTTGGTGCCACAGTGACCTGTGAAGGGTGGGCTTCCACTCAGCAGGATGTACAGGATAACACCGAGACTCCACAGGTCACAGCGCTTGTCGTAGAAAGAGGCCTCATCTGTAAATGCCTCCACTACCTCTGGAGCCATATACTCTGCTGAGCCACACTGAGAGGGTGAAAAGAAGGGAAAAAATAAAGCTAAAAACACAAAGTCAGTATTGATAATTAAATAAGGTTTCTGTAAAACACGATGCGTCTGTACCGGTGTGGTGAGCTCTGGAGTCGTTATTGGAGTACAGGCACTGCTGAGCTTCACTCCACTCCCTAGATCAAAGTCACAGATTTTTACTGGCGACACCTGAGGAAGAAAAATGGAGTCGCAGGCTGTAGCTACAGTGATAACTGGTGTCTTTCTAAAAGATTTGTAAATACTATCCTACTTACCCGATCAGTTCTTTCACAGAGTATGTTTTCCAGCTTAAGATCTCTATGAGCAATGCCTGAAAAAACACCAAGTTCCCAAGATGAAAAAAAGGCCCTTAACTTGTTTCATATAATAAAACGTTATTTGAATTTCAACCTACCCTTTGTGTGCAAAAAGTCCAGAGCTTGTGCAATGTCCTTGACTACCTTACTGGCCTCCAGTTCATTAAAGTGCTTTCGGTTCTGGATGTGCGTAAGAATGGAGCCTGCAGAAAAGAATCACGAGCACTCATTTTTGTGTGTTTACATTGAGCGGTCTGTAAAAGAAACTAAATGAACAGGAGCACTCAGATCCTTCATACTTACCTCCTCGTAGCTTCTCAAACACCAGATAAAAGCAGGAGCCGTCTTCAAAGAACTGGATCAGCTCCAGAATGTTTCTGAATAAACATAAGAAATGATTCAATCCGGATTATTCCGCTTTGAGTTTACTTTTTAGACGAAAAAGTTTTGATTAAATGCGCTCACTTGTTTCCTTGGCACTGGTAGAGCGTCTCCACTTCTCTAAATACTCTGCTGCGGCTGTGGCCTGCAGCCTTTTCTATGATCTTTGCAAGACAACACAAAAGTCATAATTAGTAGTCTGAGCAAAAACATGTCATACTCCATATTTCTAAAAAAAAAAAAAAAAGAGAGAGAGAATAAATTCTTACTTTCACAGCAAACTCTTGTCCGTTCTGCAGGCTCACACACCCCTGAACTTTTGCATAAGCCCCCTGACCGAGGACCTCATCTGTTAGTTTGTAGAGGTCTGAAAATCAAGTGTTACATGAGACGATAATGAACTTTTACTGAGTAGTAAATACAAACAGCACTTCCACATTTTGCAAACACTGCATCTGCTCTACAATAATGACTTCAACATTACCATCAAAAGTGCCTGTAAAGCTGTCTGTTGCTCTGGTCCTTTTTTTCTTTCTTCTTTTTGCCAAATCTGGGATGTTCACCGGCTGGCTGGACGCGATCTCTGCAGCAGCACAGAGGGGAGAACACAATGGAAACTGTTTTAAACCCATGCAAATGTTGCCGGGAGTCAACAAACCAATGTGCGCTTTTAGGGCGATTGCAAATAACAGAGCTGGTGTACCTGCTGGGCCTTGCGAGAGGAGCTGCCTTTCCTCTTTGACGTTGTCCTTTATTGCCCCGCTGTTTTGCCCCACTTGGCTCACAGCCAGGGGGTTACCCTGTAACAAAGAGTGGTAGGGAAAGTGAGAGAGTAACAAAAAAAAAAGATCAGGTGGTGAAGCAACAATAGATATTTTATAGCTTTTTTATGGAAGTCTAAACAAATTATTCACTCTTTAAGGTAGCATTTCTACAAGTAAAATCCTTGGTACAGTATTATACGTTACCAGAAACATTCACACAACCACTGATAGCATATGACTCATTGGAGTTTATTCAACTTCCAGGTTTCTGATCAGATAAACGTGTGTGTACTACTATCTGACAGCTTCACATCCTCTGCCATGATTCAGGAAGTGAGATCAGTGACAGTAAAAGGAGTCCATCGAACCTGGAGAGTATGCTGGATGGTTTGCAGCTCTGTCATCACGCGGTGCCTCACCATATCTGCCAACTGAGAGAACATCACAGAAATACTCAATGCGGAGCACACTGCAGAGACATTCTTGTGTGTTACATAAAAAAAATCATCAATCACCAACACAAACGACAGCAACAAGAATAGTTACTCAGTGTGCTTTTCTCAATTCTAAATTATGTAGTACATTGGCAGGTTAGAATGCGGAATGGCTGATCAGCTTACTGAACCAACAAGTTTGCTAAAGCCAGATAAGCACTGGACATGTTAGCAAACATAACATTATAGTTCTGACGGCTTGTACATAACAATAACGACATTGTTACATGATACTGGCAGTATTGTTACGAAAATACGCGCTAAACTTAGAGTTAGCATCTTTGTTAAGCGACCTTTTGATYAGCTTTCGCGGGCTAGCTAGCTTAGCTAGCATCATCGCTTGCTAATTTAGCATAGAGACTCATGTCCATTTGCTTCTCTGCATGTCGYCAACTATTAAAGACAGTTCCAATAAACAATAAATGAAAATAATAGATCTAACCTGGGCTCCACAAAGGACCAAATCCCTTTCGTCAAAGCTCCTGACAGCTGATGCAAGCTCCCATTGCTAACAGAGATCCATTAGCCGGGAAAACACATAAACAGACGTCTGCCCCGCCTCCTCGTGCGTTCCTGCTCATCCGATTAGTTTACGTCTGCTTACGTATATGTCGTGACTGATGGCCACGCCCACAGTGCCTGTAATGGGGATTTTTTTTGTGCGTGGCAGTTTATGTCATCAAACCACACACATTTTTAAAATTTACACTCAGTCAAAGTTACATTCTTAACAGTCATATTGTTACTGATAAAATAAAATTGTGGTTCTTCGCTGAGACAGTATAAAAAATAAGTTTATGATGTCTGAAAATCTTTAAAAAGTTTTGTTGGCCAAATAGCCTAAATGTGTACAGCAGATTCTGTATCCACAATTCACTTTTTCCCTGTCAAAAGGAATGTTTCAGGTATCCAAAGGAGCATTTTTCCATTACATAATTCACATTTCAGATATCTCAAGTGTCAGTTTTCCTTGGAAAAATACCACAGTTCCAAGTCGTGTAGGTTTACACATATCCACATTCTTCCTTTCTGAAATCATCACTGACGATCTCTGAATTGAAATCTTTATCAAGTGAAAGTCACATTTCAAATGTTGTAAATTGAGTTATTTGTCATAGTTTTCACTTATTGTATTTGTTGCCAAACGAGACAGTATTATTTCCACTGATAACTGAAATTACTTTTTAACTAGCACTAGGAGAACCGGTAGATCTCCCTAAATATAAAAACTTTTTTGTACATTATTATGAATGAAAATTACTAAATMTAGAGCTCTGAGCAAGAAAAATATTACATTTCATTTCATTTTAATCAACTGGCAGTGACCACAATCATACAGGCGTCATATCACACATAAACATGAACATAAAGACAAGAAACAAACAAAGGAAATGTAGTCTTGTGTTAGAAACTAACAGAGGAGTATAAAGATGTCACAGCACCATAATGAGAGTAAGTAAAAGTTTCTGTGTACATACAGTACCACCATCTGAAGGAAAGTGGTCAATTAATTGATTGTCCATATGTTAAAAAAAACTCTCATACAAATTGATATAAAACTATTCTTTGTCTGGAATGTGCTGAAGCTTATATTTTCTCTGGAGAAGGGCTCAGATAACGTCAAAATGTAAACTTCTTTGTCCGTTCGGTTCTCTTCAAGTGCAAATCCTCTCCGTCATCTCRTTCTGCAGGGAAACCAAACAAAGAGCGAGTCAACAAATCAAATCTGTTTCTGTTGCACAAGAACAATAACAACACAGCCAAATTCATTCATTCTTGTAAAAATGGAGAAGTGAATTTGAAATAATGAAACTTAAGGTTCACAGTTTTCATTGTGCTGACACAACCGTCACATCCCTGTTTCACAATGCAGGAAAAAATAATGAAATCACACTTTAACTGGTTTGATCTATTAATTATTACTATTATTAACTGCRAACTATTGTTCATCTGCTCAGATTCTCAACAAAAAGTTGACGGAATTCCAGTTTTATTAAAAAAAATCTAATGAAAAATATGTTATTGTGGGTGAGGACACAGTTTATGTGTTCTGTAATCATGCTCAGGCAGGATGAGAGATGTTTTAGTCTGGATGGAAAATAGCTGTTCTTTTTTATGAGTAAAACTTTATCATGTCTTACAAACACTCAAAGGTTAAAAAAATGACAAAATTGCAGATATATCCCTCTAGATCAGAGGTCTTCTGTGTTTTTCAGTCGGTGACCCACAAACTGATGGAGAGCCAGATCAACGCCAATTCTCMGCCAAACAGCTTCTTGTTTTGAGCTTCTGGTATCCCCAGGTGCTGCCAATCAGGTGCATGGTGTAAGATTTATTACTAAGAAACACAAAAAAGACATAATCTACCAAAACACAGATTTACTTGCAAAGATGCATTTCACAGTTTGTGTGACTCAGTCCTTCAGGGATATTTTCATGGAGCACTAGTTTGCGTTAATCCCCGTAAAACTGTGGAAACCGGAGAAACAGTTCAGTATGGTATGTCAATTTTTTTCTCTCATGGTTTTTTGTGAGTTTTCAAGCTAAATTATTAAGAACAATATCGTTTTATTTTGTAACATAAAAGTCAATGTAAATTCAGTTCCATATAAAAAATGCAGCACAGTTCTTGACGCAGCTTTGCCCACAATCCACTTCTCCATGTGGCATGTAGCTGCTAACTGTTTAGCTGTTGTATTTTTTTTTTTTTTTTTTTTTTTTTCTTACTGCATTATGATGTCACCCAAACACACTCTAGGCCTTTTCTGGACCGCATCCAATATTTGCATTTTTTCACGATTCACAGGTACTCGAATGTAACTCCCATGAAAATCGGGGGTTCATTGTATACATGAGTTACAGCACTGTAGAAGTATTGTAAATATTACAGCACTAACAGACTCTTAGTTACTGTGATCAGAATATGCCAGCAGGYCAGTATGACTTGTCCAGTATGGATAGGGGGCGGGGTCTTCTCTTCGCGAGTAGAATACATGGAGGGTCAGGCTGAGAGTGACACTAGAGTTCAGCTGGTGCTCYCTGAATGTGTGCATTTCTGACTGAAATACATTATTTTATACCTCCATTTATCAATTTATTGCTACATTGTTGGATTCATTGTAATGTGTTTTTTTTTAAATAAAGTCTAACCAAAAATTTTCATGACCCCCTTGCAGTACTGTATGACCCCAAGACCTTTGTTCCAGATTGTAACGTAGTAAACTTCCCTTTCCAACAGGATGACTCACCAGAGGCTCCAGTTCGGAGTTATCGATGAGATGGAACTCTGTGATGAAGTAGTAGTAGTGTTTGTAACAGGTGTTGATGTGGGCCTCAGCGCCCATGCTGCAGATGCTGTCGAAGTGATGAATGTAAACATGAACAAACACTCTGAAGAGACGGCTCAGGATCTTCTTGCACACCTGCTGGAAGTTCTTGGGGAAAGGTACTCCTAAAGCAAAAGAAAGAAGCAAGTTTTTTTTTCCTGGAAATAATGTTAAAACTCCAATATTCATGTTCTGAAACTTTATGTTTATAAGAGTCTTTGTATCCTGTWACACTGATGTGGGTTTTGTTCTTGCTCAGGCACATGGAAGATGGGTAAAAGAGGGCAAAKCTGATCAAACTAATGCCTGGTTCGTAAATAAATTTTATCTCTCCCGATTGACACCATGTTAAAGTAAACCAAAACTTATGTAAAATCCATTAAACCAGGGCCTTGATTGTTGCYGACAGAATTGTTTGGTTGGACTGTAAACCTTTCAGCTACCTTAACTTTATGAAAGAAATTCWCATCTCAAACAGTCATATCTGTCAGTGACAAAATAATGGCACCATAAACTGTGCTCTTCTAAATGCCAGAATCACGTTTAATTAACCTTTTTATTGCCTAATCACTGTAGATGCAAATCATTGACTCTTTACACACACCTACTCTGGTGGGGAAGATATCCTCATCATTGATGAGCGACTCTATCCAGTCCATCAGCAGAGTCATGTACTTGAGTGCAGGCAGCTTGGTAGGTTTCTTGTAGTCCTCGCCGTCCTGCCATCTGTACTCGTACCTCAGTCCTCCAGACATGATGGGACACGTGCGCTCTGTGCAGTACTCGCTGACCGTTCCATAGATCAAGTTGATGCGGTTAAAGAAATCCACCACGTGAACTGCAATCCAGTCATTGAGGTTCTCTCCCTCTGGCAGCTGAACCACTTTCCTCAGGTCCAAGCCTGACTTGAGCGAGGCCTGGGCCTTCTTGTAGAGTTCAAAGCGTTGTGTGCCGGGCTCAAACCGCCTCTTCGGCCTGAATGTTCGGGCTTTGCTGAACACTTGCCCGAGACACAGTGCCATTGACTCAGTTGTTTCCCCCTAAGATAAGGGGAGACAAAGTTCTCCAGAATAATTATTAGGTTTGAGTTGGATCAACTTTATTGGGATGTGAGGAAGTCAGGCCASTTGAAATCAGGTCACAAGAGGTCGGTGTCTGCCATGTTCAGATTTCATGGAGTGCTTGTTTCCTGTTTGTGGAACGGTTCTGTGAAAAGAAACAAGAAATGTGTTAAGCTTTTCCTTTTCCTGACATCTTTGTCTAACTAAAATAGCAAAAAATAAAAATAACTACTAAACTATTTCCAAAATATTAAAAATGAAAATTCTTTAAGAAATGAACATGAGCCACATGGTACATGAATGAATGAATGAATGAATGAATGAATGAATGAATGAATGAATGAATGAATGAATGAATGAATGAATGATACTTTATTGATCCCGTGAAGGGAAATTACAGACAGTACATGACAGTACATACACATGCAATATATTATAATAATATGGCACAGTGTCATACAATATGGTATATTGTGATACAATACATATGGTTAAATACAATATGCTACAGTTTTTGGTCCAGTCAAATCCAATAAGATGCAATACTGTACAATATAATACGAAACCCTCTATATCTGCATTCCTGCCCACTATAGTAACACCACTGTGAAGTTTGCTGACAATACCACGGTAGTAAGACTCATGACTGGGGGTGGTTGTCCCACAGGGATGAGGTGGAGCAGCTGATAGCGTGGTGTAGGACCACCAACTTGCTCTTTAACACAGGTAAGACTGAGGAGCTTATTGTGGACTTCATGAAGAAGGATGTCAACAACAACTCTTCATCAATTGGGACTGTGTGGAAACAGTCTATGTGGAAACAGACTTACACTTCTTGGAAGTCACCATCAGGGAGGACCTGACCTGGGGAATACACACTGCAGATGTAATAAAGAAGGCCCAAAAGGGACTACTTCCTAAYGGTTCTCAAAGAGAACAACATCCCCGAGAGACCGCAAGTGTCCTTCTACCGCTGTACAGTAGAGAATATCTTGATCTACTGTCTCTGTGAGAACGATTCTCCAGCTGCATGGTAACAGAAGGAAGAGCTCCACAGGGTTTTTAAGGTTTCCCAGCAGAAAGTTGGCTGTCCTCTACCCTCACTATGAACTGCGTACTTTCTGTTGTCTCAAGAATGTGAAATAAAAAATCCTTCAGGACCCATCAGACCCAGGACATGAACTGTTTGAAAACCTGCTTTAAGGCAGATGTTTCAGATCCATAAAGACTAAAACTAAAAAAAAATACTGTTTCTATACTTCAGCAATCACCTCGCTAAATGTTGCTCATTGGTAAATCTGACCTCGTCCACCATCATGTTTGCATTGCAATACAGTTTCATGTTTACAAAACAGCTTCAAGTCCACGCCATCTAAAGACATGTACACTATGACTATATTGTTTTGTTTTTTTTCTTTTGGTTTTTATTTTAAATCACAGGAAGTCRAACATTTCACTGATCACATCAACTCTGTGGAAAAGTTCACATGAAAGTATGTAAGAAAATGTCAGGTTGGCTTTCCTGGACTGTGACGTCTCAAACTCAGATGGAGGACAGTTGGAAACTGATGTGTACTGGAAACTCACCCACACAGACCGGTATTTACGTTTTAACTCCCATCACCCACTGGAGCAAAAGTTAGGAGTSATCAGYACTCTGTACCACAGAGCAGACAGTSTCCCCATAAACCCAGGAGCCAGGGAGAAGGAGAAATATCACAAACCCAAACAGGACTCCAGCCATCCGATGAAAAGGAGGACCCCAAACCSAGACCCAGGTCATTCRGTAMGTTGCAGGACTTTCAGAGAAACTGAGATGTTTYTTTTCTAAACATGACGACCCAGTGGCTTTCAAACTCCAAAYCACATTATGACAAAGCTTGGTTCACCCCAAAGAGCCGYTCCCCWCTGTCAAGTACCAGGAGGATTGTGACCAGTTATACYTCAGGGAAACAAAGCAGACARTGTTCAAAAGGATGGCCCAACACAGAAGAACAGCATCATCAGGCCAGGACTCTGCAGTTTACACTCTTTCAGGGAAGAAGARGTTCTCATCCTTGATAGAGAGGAACACTGGTTTGAGAGAGGAGTAAAGGAAGCCATTTTGGTGAAGAGAAAACATTTTTATGGTATTGTTATTAAARGGGGTGGAGGCCTGCATGTCCAAATTGTCTCCCTCTTATAATGCTGTTATTGCGACTACTCAGCCCTCTGTGAACAATAGTGATGACCAGGGACCARTYGTCYTTAGGCAGATGGTCCTCTTTTGCATGTGAACAGTTTGATTGTCATCGTTAAACTTGTTTGTCCACCATGTGGAAGTACTGTTTARAAGGACGAGTTTTCCTGTAACTCCTCAGACTGAAGACGTCTCTTGGAGAAGAGACAAAATGTTTCAACAAAAAACGAACCCGTCCAGAGGACCTACTCAACTTTTTTTATTTCTACCTGGATTATTGAGACACTTTTGATTGTTTGTGTTCCTATTCACACTGGAGAATTTCACCTCAAAGTTTGTTGTACAATGTTTCATTCCTACAATGAKAATAAGAATTCTAATTCTGATATAATACAGTACAATACACTTTTTTGTCTTGTGAAAATAAACGTTTTGAACATAGTTTTATCACCATCTTTATGTTCACAAATAATAAATCTCTACAACATGTAGAATTAAAACATTACAGAGAACAAACAAAGATGTACCATTACTGCTTTGTTTGAGCTGTTGYACAACACAACTGAATCTATAAATAGAAATGCCAATAATTTGCTGGAGCAGATGTCAGGCCACAGGAGTTAACTTGTATTGTGAAAATAAATGTCATAATGTGATTCAGTACAGAGTAAACAGCTCTTGGGAGCATAGAGAAATGATCTCAGCCTTCAGATGCTGCATGATGACAGGAATCCCTTTAAATGTTGTAGAAAACCACTGACAGCTGATGGAAAACAGAATGATAGTCTCTGGTTTGGGTTTTATATCAAACACAACAAATACTGTATATTTCTGATTACTGCAACATCAGAGAAATTATTGAATAAAGTCAAAATTTTCTTTTTAGCTCATGAGCTTCACTGTTCAGTCCTTAAAAGCACGTGTCAGCTGCCACAGGTCAGACACAGTCACATTTAGGATTGTTGTTGTAACATGACACTACATCCGCATTTGTGTCCCGAGTCCCATTCTGAACGACAGCTCTGACCATTTTCTGTTGCTGCCTTTCTGGAAACTACCGTGACTTTGAAACACAGAAGTTTCAGTTTTTGAACGACTATTTGTATGCACGTTATAAACCAAGCATTGATGCTGTTGATTTTGTCGAAAATCTGTGCGTGGGGTTTTAATCGTGAGCTTGATTTTAGCCAAATTGATCATTACAGAAGCATGGATGCATGGTCACGAGATGAAAAGGTGCAAGTTCAGAAAGAAACAAACCTCTCAGGTTGGCAAAGTTACAGAGACTCACTTGACAAGTCAGAGACATCTCCAGCTGAACACAAAGCAACAAAAGATGGCGATGACTGAAACAAAAAGTCACAACATGCAGGACAAAATGACTTGAAATCTGAGTCTCCTGCYTGCCTCAACAGCCTCAGGCGAAAGCATGTCTAATCATGTACTATGAATAACAGTCCCTTCATGCTTGTTTTACTGGTCTTCATGGAATTTGCCACTGACACCGAAGGCTGGTGAGAATAAAGTGGCTCTTCATACAATGTACAAAAACAAAAAAACAAAAAAAGCCCACAAAGGAGGAAATTATGAAATGGAAAAAAAAAAAAGAAACAAAACTTCCTGCACTGTACCTCACTGAAAGCCAACAGCCGATAGTTAGGAATGCTGTGGAAAGTTGGTGGGAGTTCAGGGAGGATCAAACTCCAGTGTGGAAMTCAGCTCCGGCTGTTCTATCCCTCCAGATCTTCTAAAGTTCCTCTCTCAGCTGGTCATCGACTGTCTGAGAAACTCCGACTTCTCTCAGTAGACAACACACACACACACAAAGAGGATGAAAATAAGTGTTTGGCTTCTCTTCCTGTGGGTGATGTCACATCCTGACTTTGTGTGTTGGCCTTCTGCTATCTGTGTGTGTNGTGTGTGTGTGTGTGTGTGTGTGTGTGTGTGTGTGTGTGTCCACATGTGGGTGTGTTTGTAGAGAACCTATAAATTTACAGAGACGCAGGGTTAAAAAAGGGCCTTCCCAAACTGTGACTCTGCCCCTTTTTTTTTCCTCCTCTCCTCTCCTCTCCTCTCCTCTTTTTTTAAATGTCATTCTGTAAGCAGAGCAGCCGGCCTGCTCGTCTCATGAAAGCCCAGCCCTCTGTGAATAGTCCTGCAAAAAAAACAAAAAGAAGAAAAAAGAAAAAAAAAAACAATCATTTTCTCTTGAGCAGCATGTACATGCAGGGAGCGAGAGATCCCACAAACATTTCTGAATGTCCAACAGTCCACATGGCCATTTCTTGTGGCGTCTCAATAATATGTCATTAAAATTCTTTGCCTTTTTTTGATGATCGTTTTTGAATTTCAAGCCAGAAACTGAAAAAGGCACCACTCAATACAAAACATTTACAAGAATTCAAATTATAAAAAAGGCGTGGTTCGCTGAAACTGCCCATTTCCTTGTGCTTTTGGCCCTCACTGACCTTATAATTGCTGACTCCTGTCTTTGTCTTGACGTGAACAAACCCCACTCAAGTGTGAAGAGAGTTTTGTTGTTGTTGTTTTGGTTTTTGCTGCATAATGAAACCCAAATTAGAAAAGTAGGAGCCTCAATTTGAGTAGATTCCTTTCTTACTTGGTAAGGATTGGAATAAAACCATATAATAGCATGACGTAACATCTTGTGTTCCAGTTCGTTGTTCCCACAAAATGAGGTCAAACTACCTCGGCAAGTTGGACCCCACAGATGAGTTGTAGCAGAGCCTGCCCTCTTTRTGTTCTTTGTGCTCCCCCTACAGACTGTTAATATATTCTGCAACTTCTTACCCGATGACATTCCACTGGTTAAAGCCAGTAATTTAAATAGTCAGATCTAAAAACAAACAAAAAAACATGTCTGATTGTTGAGGCAGACAGCATTGTTCCATAAATTAGACAATACGATGACTCAGTAGAACTATTCACTGTAAATAAACTTCTATGTAAACAAAGACCTAATGCAAAAGTGACAGCAAAAAAAGGTTTATAAATTAATGTTTGCAAGGATTTTTGTATGACTGAACTTGTCTTAAGTAGTGATGTGCGAATCGATACTAAAATARTGGTACCGTACCAGAACTTTATGTTCCAAAARTGAATCTAGAATCAAAATATCGACACTTTGATACTTTAGTCYTTTCAGGTGATGTATATCATGAACAGGAACACAGTGGAAAGTAACTAAACTATTAAAATCTTGTCTAAATCATAAGCGGTTAGTMGGAYCTACTTTTTCTTTCTCCTAYTGCATAAGAAAAACATCATTTTCACATATTTTGTAAGARTGTGTRGTCTGTTTGGTATTTCTGTTGGATTWGCTCAGTTATATTGTAAWTAAGGATGCTACATTTATGTGATCTTCTTAACATCTGCACTCAGAACCCTCTGGACTAATAATCAGTTTCTCCTAGATGTTTGGATCCAAACTGAAATCCAGAGGTGATCACTTTGGTCAACATTTGCTGTTTTTAACGTGTTATATGAATAAATTGACAATAACTGAGCGAGCTCTACTGCAGGTAAGACACTGATTGCCAATAACAACACAATCTGAAGGATTGGTTGAGAAACACAAGTTTACTGTGCATCTTCTGTATTAATATTATTAATTAATGCCTAACATTTCTTTTGTTGTCTACCTTTCCAGGTTCTGTCTTTTATTTTTTGCACACATTGCACAACATGCTGTCAGTGGTAAGAAATGAGCAGAAAATGAGTAGAAAAAGAAGTCAAAGTTTAAAAAAAAACGAAATACCATCGAAAAGTTTGAAAAATACTGCTCAAGACTACGTTGTAGAAAGTTTTGCAGCTTTTCATGGATGCCTTTTATTGCACTACCTACAAACCCATGTTTGAACAGAGTTTTAGAGTAACTACGTACATTTACTTCGTTACAGTACTTAAATAGATTTTTTTGAGGATTTGTAATTTCACCACTTATTTTTAAACAGCTACTTTTACTTTCATTTCATTACATTTTAAAGCTAAAATTTTTACTTTTACTTCCTAACTTTAAAATTTAACAGCTAGTTACTTGTTCAAACTCATCATGAAAGATGTTTCTGCACTCTAAAAAGGTCAAGTGTTGAATTTACTCAACAAAGTCAGCTGGCTCCACTAAGCCTAGTTGAGTAAATTGAGCAAAGAATATACATACATATTGCTCAGTTTACTCAACCTGGCTTAGTGGAACCAATTTTGTTCAGTAAATTCAACAGTTTATTTTTTAGAGAGCGTGTAAAAGTACTTTTGCTTTTACTTTTTAAATTTTTGTGAACAGTTTTATGACTTTTATTTGAGTAGTTTTCTCATCAGTGAAATTTATTTTTCACCAAAGTCATTTTCTGTTCATGTAATTTTACTTAGTTTTTTTTTTCAAGTACTTACAGACCCCTGTGTTTGAATGGCATTGGCCTGTGTACTTGGTTTTCTAAGGTTGTTGATTGGTTAAACTAGCCTTACATATGGCATTTTTAAAAACAGAACAAAAATGAATAAAGTTGATAAAACTTAAGACTGTGATGGACTTGCATCCTGTCCAGGATGTACCCCGCCCCTCGCACAGTGACTGTTGGATAAGGATGGATGGATGGATGGATGGATGGATAAAACTTAAGATATGTTGGATTTTAACAGTAAAGTAAATGCATTTAGTCAGTGGAATAAAAATCCTATTGATTCTATAAAGTGTGTGTGTATTATTTATGTATTTATAGATGTATTTAGAAATATCTAAATTAGTGGCACATTCTAATCTTTTACAGATATCGCACATTCAGCACTGTTTTTACTGTTAGAGAACTAAAGCAGGGAATGTTTTTAGACTTAAACTTTGATACAACTTTCAGGATTCCTTCAGAGCCACTAGAGGTCACTCTGACTGTTTCTGACTGCTACAAAAAAAGATCTGCTTCTTGTTTTTTTACACAGCCCGTGGTTAATATTATACAAATTTATGATGTTCAGTAATCCGGTAGCCTGGACAATCAGGAAATTATCTGTAAGAGAAAGAGATATTGTTCTGTGAAGCCTATAAAAAGAAAAAAAGTGGCCTGGGGATGGATATGGGTGGATGTGGTCAGATTTTATTGCTCTCATCACATGAACGGTGAACCAGCACTGATTCAGAGGGAGGACCTGGAGCTAAAAACAAAATGGGATGCTACGAGTTAGGAATTTATTGTTTTTTATTCCATTTATTCAATTTTCTTCTTCATTTAGTCAGAAATTATAGCAAAAATATTATTACGTAACAAAAATATAACTATAACCCTTAATATACTATAGGCACTTAAGGCAATGGCTATTTTAGAGTTGTAAGGCCTAATCTTAACATCTATCATACAGAAAGAAAAAGAGCAATGATGTGTTGGTCTTCATCATGTATTTGATCCTTTTTCTATTTAAGTTAAAAGTCTATTATTGGATGTTTGAATAAATGTTTGTTTTATTTAAAGTCAGCATGTTCAAATAAAAGTATTGAATGAGAAAAAAATTGGTTTACTATGAACATTTAAGGAACACAATAAGTTTTTTTAAATACAGTTTGTTAAATATTTGACTACATCTTTAAAAAAGTCGTGTGAATTTCATCATTTAGTTTGTTGAATTGTTGAACTTCTACAGTTTTTAATACCTCAATTAGAACACTTACTGTGACAAACTTTATGAAATGTTCTTGAGCTGATTGAAACAAAAAAACATCCTCTTCCACAACCAGATACCTGTGTGTTGATTCACCGGTTGCTTTRTTTTTTTTTTTTTTTTTTTTTTAAATATTAATATTTCAACCTGGTGAGTCCCAAGGGTTGAGTCAGAAAAATGCACCATCACTGGTGCCCTATGCTCCAGTTTGGTTTGTCTGCGTGTCATCAAAACATTTCACAGGAAGAACCAGTCAAGCCTTATTTTAATGTGATTGTCACTCAGGACATACTTGGTCGTTAAAGAAAGAAACTATGCTGCCTGAAATTCACAACACCACAACTTTCACATTAACTAAACAATTAATCACAAATTTAAATGCCTCGAGCTCTTGTTTTAGATTTAGGGACATACTTACACATATGGGTACAACATATAAAGCATTGTCATTTTTCAAGCATTTGGACTGACATGAATTAGCATTAACCATTTTATAATGTCTTCAATTTTTTTTGATTGCTTTCCTGGAAAAACGATCCCAGGAAAAGATAACGAGGCTGTCAGTATGATTCAGCTAAATAGTTCAGCAATACGAGAAGAACAGACATTTTTTTTGCTGCAGGCTTTCACACCTGAATTCTTTCTACTATAATACCTGTTTTAAACGTCTTTTCAGCCTCACATCAGTCAAAGAAGGTAATCACTGACCACTTAACTCACTTAAAATGCTTCAGCTCGAGGTTGCTTCACCTGACATCCTTAAATGGGATTTATTACATAAATTGATAGAACTTGAGTGATAACATTTTCTGCCGATTGACAGATTGGTACGAATAAAGCTTTATCTTACAAGGTATCACATTGTGGTGAGGTCTCCACTGTGCTATGTTAAATACATCCACCTGGAGTTTTGCTTCTTTTTTTATCACCCGTCACTAAAGCCAATAATGCTTTCGTGTTTGTTTGTAGTGTTAGCTAATGATTTCATGAACCATTGAATAGGTTTTTTAATGGAACTTTCATAAAGTATTCATTGGGTGTATGTTTACAACTCATACAGGGGTGTCAAACTCATTTTCTTTGAGGGCCACATGAGCATTATGGTGGACCCCAAAGGGCAAGTTGGAATCGACTTTGATGATTCGTGTTTAACTTTGACTAAAATGTCACGTTCCTCGTCTCATTGCTATGAATAAACACAGCTCTACGTGGTGTTCCCTGCATAGAAACAGTGTTTCAACACGCCTTATAAACAATGAAAAGTACTACGTGTACGACTGACAAAATGTAAAAATAAAATATATAAAAACTCTATTAACAGTAAAAGTAAGAGAGTTTTACTCACTGCTGAGGTGAGTAGCTGCCGTCTTGATTTCTGAAATCTCCCACTTTCCAACAAGGAATTCTGACTGGAGGGAGACTTGTAAGTAGAAAATTCCCATTTCCCAGTACTACTGGGCCACAGGAAAAGTAGCCKGCAAAATTGAGGTTTTACATGGTGAACTTCYCRA